AAAGTTGTGGAATTGGCGACCAAAAATTATATTAGTCGGCAAAAATACATGATTTAGCTACTAATTTTTTTTAGTCGGGGTATATTGATTATTGGCGACTAAAAAAAATTTAGTCACTAAAAATGTCACAATTGGCGACTAAAAAATTTTTTGGTCGCTAAAAATGCACCAATTGGAGACTAAAAAAATTTTTAGTTGCTAAAAATGTCACAATTGGTGTTAGTTTTGGCTACTAAACTTATTTAGTCACCGAATGAAAAATAAAAATAACTAAATTTTTTATCGACTAAATGTTTTAGTCAGCAATTTTAATTAAAATTTTGGAGGGAGGATTTTGAATTTTCGAAGGGTTCCTAAATTAATTGGCGACAAAACTATTTTCCAATCAGGAAAAAGTTAAAATTCTGTCTTTGGCGACCAAATCTGTTGTTAGGAAAAAAAAACAAAAAAAAAACAAAAAAGGGTAGGTTTGAAGGACTAATATGTATATATTAATTCATGTTGTATGTACTCAGATAGAGCAACTAGATTCATATGTTGTATGTACTCAGATTGAATATCAAAAATTTTATTTCATATATATTCGAGTATGCAAAACTAATGATTAATTTGAAAAGATTACTTAATTTCGAGTTTTATATGTTTTTTTTATAATTTTAAATTGGCCAATATTTAGTCAATACTAATGATTATTTTTTATTTTTTTGTAGATGGTTTTTGATGTACAAATGTGGATATGACTTTTTTTGACAAGTACGGAAGGGCATTATTTTTATATCTCCGTCCGTATATATAGTGGTTCATACAAATTAGTTTTTTGGCGTGGTAAATATCCAAAATTTGGCCCGATGGAAATTAGCATTGGACGTGGTACAAATTAGTTTTTGGGGCGGTACAGAATAAATTTTTGGTGTGGTATAGATTTCCTTTTGGATATTAAATTTGATTAATCCTCTATTATGTATGGAATTAAATTATTGGGGTTGAATTATACTTGGTTCGTATGGAATTTGTATTACATTTAGAATTGGATATTGAATATAAATATTTTGAATGGTTGGAAGTGAAATATGTGCACGTTGTTGAATGGTTGATAATATATTCAGTATTGATGGATTATATTGTTTATACATGGCACATGTTACACTAATAATGGGTACAGGTGGTTCAGAAATTAAAAATAAAATAAAAAACTAATAAATATGTTGGTAGCCAAAAATGTAAGCAAATGTTTTGGCGACCAATAATTTAGTAGCAAAAAATAACCATATGGCTTTTTGTGACCAAACCACATAGTAGCTAAAACAAATCAGAATGAGGGAAGTTTAATTGCTGACTAAATATTTTAGTCACTAAAAACACGACATCCTTTGGCGACTAAAGTGTTTGGTCGCTAAATGTACGTATTCTATTAGCGACTAAAACTTTAGTGTAACGCCCTCAAAATAAAAACATTAATCCCTTCAAATAAGACATGCGTTGATATGTAAAAGTTCCACATTCTTCCATTTATCAGAATTCCATTACATAAGTATTACATGTTAACAACAAAAGCAAATGCCCTAAGGGCTTACAGCTTTCCAAGTTAACACTTGGTTACAACAAAAGAGTACTAACTCATTACACATTAAGCCCTTGGCTTGAATTTACATGTAATACATTAAAAGTAAAAAACGACAAAGTATGTCCGCCTCTAGCCTTCCCAGGCTATGTCCTTGGAGGTGGCATGCTACCTGTACCTGAAAATGATATTCCCATATAGGGTGAGCCACAGCCCAGTAGAAATACACTAAACCAACCATGAACAATGACTAAAAGATTAGCAATTGATAGATGGCCAACACAGATACATTCACATAAATCACATATTTATGTCATACGACTTATGAGTCCAAGTTACTTTTCATTTTCCCTTTTTCAACAGATAGACATATAAGCTCTATCCACATTCTCAACAGATATGTATAAAAACAATATCCCATATTCACAGATAAGCATATGAGCTATATCTACAACTACAACTGATAAGCATATGAGCTATATCAACATTCCAATAGATAAGCATATCACACATCAACAGACAAGCATATGAGCTATATCAACATTCCAATAGATAAGCATATCACACATCAACAGACAAGCATATGAGCTATATCAACATTCCAATAGATAAGCATATCACACATCAACAGACAAGCATATGAGCTATATCAACATTCCAATAGATAAGCATATCACACATCAACAGACAAGCATATGAGCTATATCAACATTCCAATAGATAAGCATATCACACATCAACAGACAAGCATATGAGCTGTATCTACACTTCACTAGACAAGCATATGAGCTGTATCTACACTTCACTAGACAAGCATATGAGCTGTATCTACACTTCACTAGACAAGCATATGAGCTGTATCTACACTTCACTAGACAAGCATATGAGCTGTATCTACACTTCACTAGACAAGCATATGAGCTGTATCTACACTTCACGTTAATGTATTCTATCAACCGTCATACTCTATGACACATCCGATTGATTAGTTTTAGTTTGCCTAATCATCATGCATTGTCTACAACAATCAACACTACCCTCCACCGGTAGCCCAAAGCAATTATTTCTAAGCAGGAAATAAATGCACAAATGGATAATATATCAGCATTTTCAATTCAATTCCTCGTTTTCTTCAATTAATTATATGCATTAATTAATTTAAACCAATTAGGGCAAATTACCATAATTCACAAAACAACCCTAAGGTTCCATTTCCATCAATGTTCAATGATTCAACAATCATTCTAATTTCTCTATGCCAAACATGCATCTAGGTTTATTATGAATGAAACCCCAACTTTTGTATAATTACACAAAAGCCCCAAACTTTCACAAAATTACCAAACCAACCCCAACATCTCAAAATACTAAAATTTAAAGACAAAATCCATAGAGAGGAGTAGGATATCCCTACCTCGAAGTTTGAGCCAAAAAGGAGATGAAGACTCGAAGATCAACGTGTTCCAAATCCCAACTTTTTCAGATTAAAACAAAGTTCTCCACACCCTCTATCTTTTTAATAAAGGCCCTAGGCTAGATTCACACTCTAGGGAGATCAAATCTTAGAGAGAGTGCTAGTTTAGAGAGAGAGAGGCTCGGATCAAGGGTTAGATCAAAGAAAAGAAGTGAAAAAGTGATGTTTAAGACGCTGCTGTCCGCTGATATAAAACACGCTCGCTCGAGCGAAGGATTGGTCTCTCGAGCGACCAGACACAGAAAACTCTCGCTCGAGCCAAGAAGTTCTCGATCGATTAGTTTCATTACCGACGGGTAAGTGCCGTCGCTAAAGACTATTATTTGCGACGGGTGACATTACCGTCGCAAAAAACCGTTTTTTGCGGCGAGGGGCGCGGCGTCACTAAAAGCTCCGTGTTTTTTGCTATGTTTTCCTGTAGTGTTATTTGTGTTAGGTGATTGAGGAACATTAGAAGATATAATAAATGGTTATTGGTGAGGGATATGATCACATAATACTCCAAAACTATTGTATAGTTTTCGCTTAATTAGAGAATACTATCCTCACACGTCCAAAGATATTAATAATTTACTTTTTATTATCAGTTTTTTCGTAAGCGATCAAATAATTATTTCTTCTGTGACAATTTAATTTTCAAATAACTTGCTCTTCTTGTTTTTGTTTGTTACAGATCATTATGTATTTTTCAGTATAATTTATATTGGGGGTTTATATATGAACTAGATAATAAACAACTACCAACATCCCCGGACACATGTCCGGATCACTGTACAACAAGGGTAAACCCGGGATCGCTATATTTATTGATGAAAAAAGAGTACAAGCAGTACACAGAAAAACATCAAAAAAGAGAGGGCTGTGGCATGTTTTTTTACTGAATAGCAAAACAAGATCTCGATAGAAACTTGCATGGCAAAGGATCAAATTCATTGGGGAGGAAGGAGCAGAGTGCTTAGGTTTTTTTGAACAAAGAGTGCTTATGTTGTTAATTCATAAAAACCACCGACTTGTACACAATTTTTTTCTCATTCTTTTGCTAGTGAAGATTCAGATAATCAAAGGTTAAGGGCTTAAACACATGAGCAGCTTTGGTCTCTATGAACTTCAATTGCTCTTTCAGCATGTGAATGTAGACAATCCAGTCACCATTTTGCAGAGGACTTGGCATGGGCATGACATAGCCAGCCTCCCCACCCCATGGGAAGTGGTAAGACCCAAGCGTCGGCCTTCCCCAACCGAAATCCACCTTTGAGACTGGAAATTGTCGGCCAGATGACACCACAAAAGCCGGTCCATCGCCCTCTTTTCCACTACTACCGGCATATATCTTTGCCAGAGCTGGTTCAGGACGGTGAGCCTCTACCCAATCTATTAGGTCCAAGAAATGCTCCTTCGTCGCTGCATTTGCCAAGCAGTCATGAACTGCCTCCGCCACACAACTCAACGGCTTCTCCTTGAGGTCGCCCGCTCTTTCCTTGCAAAACGGAATGGACAAAACGTTCCCAAAGTAAGCATCCATCAGGGTTGCCTTTTTGATATCTGCATATGCTTCTCTCAATCTCATTCGTCCATCTACTACAATACCCATCCTGCAAATCTTGTCCCTTTCAGCTTCCCTAGCAGCAACTAGTTTCCACAAGAAGGCACTAAATGCCTCAAGCTTGGTCCTCCCTTGTCCGCTAGTACCATGATTGGCTAATGACTGGAGACGACTGAGTTGATCAGCCTCAATATAATAGATGCGACTTATCAACTCATCGACATTGGGCTTCGGATTTTTGGGTAGTGGTGGTAGGGCAGAGACAGGAACATACATGTCATCCAAGAAAGGATTATACCTTCCGGGCTGTCGAGGGCTGAGTACTGATCCTCCGATTGATGGCAGCAAAGACAGTTGTTTGTGTTGGAAATGGTTATAAAATTCTGGATAAAACCAGAATTTTTTCCTAAGTTCGGTCTATTTTTTAGGTGGGCCCCGAGTGTCGATTTACTCGGGTCAAAGTGGTAACGCGTTCTATGCCGCGTTGTGATTCACGTGGTATATTTGGTTGCTCAAAACCATTACCGAGTGAATGGGAAATTGAAGCCAAAGTGTGCTCCATGGAAATGGAGTTTTGGTGGAAATTCCTTAAGGTTGTAAATTGGCTTGTCCCACATTGTTTTGGTGGGAGGTTTTGAAAGGGTTTATAAGGCTTAGGGTGAGATACTTGGGGTGTGCCCCAAGGGGTACCCAAGTGTTTTAGAGGGAGAGGTTATGGGCAAAATGGGCTACACCCATTGGACCCAAAAATCACCCCGCGCGCCGCCGCCGCCGTCCGTCCGGGCGGGCTGGGCTTGGGCGCGGGTGCGTGGTGTGTGGTTGGGATGGGCTTCTAATCTTTTTGGGCCAAAAACATTTGAATTTAATTTTATTTTTTATTAAAATAAAATCCAGAATTCAAATTAAACACCTTATCCTCTGATTCTTTTAGTTTGGATTTTTTGTTCATCCAAACAGGGCCTTCCCGGTTTCAAACAAAAATAAACTGTTTTGGAATTAAATGCACACCCAAACAGGGCCCTTCCCATAATTGCTATCTGTTTGAATTGTTGAATCTGTTTGAATTCAAAACCCAACAGGTATCATACCTGTTCAATTCAAAACCAAGAGCCACATACCTATTTAATTCAAATCCAAGAGCCACTTCACATCTATAAATAGGACCACCCTCATTTGATGTTTATATATTCAGAAATTTCGTATTTCACCTCTGTTAATTCTATTCTTCATCTTGCTGCATTTTATTTCCGAAAGAAAGAGTGTAAACATTAGTGTGTTCATAAGGCAACACATTAGTAGTGCTGCTATTGTTTGTGTGATCATTTCATCCTGGGAGATAGAGTCCGAATTCTGAAAGCACCGTGGAGAGGACGAATCTGTCTTAAGGACACAGTGGTCAAACACTGGACTTGATTAGAAAATAATTCAAAGAAATTAAATCAAGTAAGTTATTTAATTTATTTTCAGTGTTGTTTTTATTTATTTAAATCAGATTTTAATTTTGTTTTTGTAACAAAATAAAATCTTTTTTTATTTATTTATTTTTATTTCGAGTTTGATTTTTGTAATCAAACATTTCTCCTTTTCCTCTATTTCTTTTATATTCTTGTTGTTGTTTTGTACACAACAGAATTAAATCCTTTTAAATACAGTGAAGATTGTCCTACAATCTTAAGACAGA